TATGGAATTACTGTTCATAATGTTGTTTTGCAGGCAATCAAATCAGAATGACTTCAATCCTAAAACTAAAAGACAAAAAACATTTATGCTGATTTCCCATAGACTCCCCATGTTAAAATACCCAACTTTACAGCAAAAAAAAAAGTTTATACAGCCTGGTACAAAAAATGGTTTTGGTCTATATATCTAATTCTGCCCTTCATGACAACTGTGAGGGGGGTGAATTTTTTTATAACTCATCCGTTTAAATTATATTAAGCCTTAAAATTCTGCATAATTAAGGGTGTGGCCACTTGAGTGACAGGTGGATTGCCGCTGCTGTCACCGCCGTCGAGCTAGGTGGGCGTGGTTTCAGCAACCAGCTCCCGCCTCTTTGCTCATTTTCAATTATCCGGGAGTGACGCACAGAGACGCGCTGCCCACTTTGAGCTTCAAAAACACTCTTCAGAAACCTACGGGTGATGTCACAGACACTACGTCCATGTTTTTATACAGTCTATGGTATGGATGCTAATGCAGTCATAAATCCTTCTATCGATAAATCTCTGTGCCCCGGCATATGGTGATCAGGCTTCACAGTCACTGATTGATCTTATCGTAGATAAGAGCAAGCACGTGTTGGCCCACACGGACAACACTGTGGCTTTATCATACATCAACTGTCAGGGAGGTCTACGATCACGTCGCATGTCGCAACTCACACGCCATCTTCTCCTTTGGAGTCAGATGTGGCTCAAGTTGCTGCGTGCCATGCACATTCCGGGGGAGCTCAACCGTGCAGCTGATGTGCTCTCATGGCAGCTCACTTTCCCTGGAGAATGGCGACTCCATCCCCAGGTGGTTCATCACAATTGCCATTGTGATGAAATTTTACCTCCGATGAAATTCGGAAGATGTCAGAAGATCTTCCAAACACCGCACAGTCCTGCAGTGTGACTTCTCCTATGACGAACGTCAAACTGTCAAAGACAAGCCATGATCAGAATTAATGCTAGAGATTTCTTCTAACCGCATAAACTTCGGAGCTCTCGTTCTCCGCCCAAGGAATTCATATGATACGTTGCCTTTACTATACTAAACACCAGTTGCACTGCTGTTTTCATGTGGGTGTGTAGTGCTGCTTGCACTATTCTTCTTAAATACGCGGGTATTGCCGACATTCATATACTTTTAATGATATTCAATATTACAGCCCCGCATGCAATGCCGCTCACGGTCACTGAACATGTATGGGTTGATAATGTAGAACTCCGGACAAGTTTTCTTGCGTGCACCCGTTTTTAACGTGTCTTAACTGTCGTACAGTCTGACATTGACAACTGAGATCCCACAGTGTTACATGATCATAATAATAATTTATGCATTTAGCAGATGCTTTTATCCAAAGCGACTTACAGTGCATTCAGGCTATACATTTTTTACCAGTATGTGTGATCCCTGGGAATCAAACCCACAATCTTTTGCGCTGCTAACGCAAAGTTTTCTTGCGTGCACCCGTTTTTAATGTGTCTTAACTGTCGTACAGTCTGACATTGACAACTGAGATCCCACAGTGTTACATGATCATAATAATAATAATAATTTATGCATTTAGCAGATGCTTTTATCCAAAGCGACTTACAGTGCATTCAGGCTATACATTTTTTACCAGTATGTGTGATCCCTGGGAATCAAACCCACAATCTTTTGCGCTGCTAACGCAATGCTCTACCACTGAGCCACAGGAACATCCTGTGGTTATCGTGTTCGTACAGTCTGACAATTACAATCCTAAAGGGCTTTTAAAAATCGCACAGTGTGAGCCCAACTTAAGACCATGCTCACTTACATCAAGAGGGCCGGGGATCTACAAGCATTTTTGAGCCGGCCCACTCTCACGTTGTCCTGAGACCCCGGCCTGGATATGTGCTCAAAGGTTCCCACCACTCCCTTCCGTAACCAGGTGGTGAGCCTGCTAGCGCTGCCCCCGGAGGAGGCAGATCCAGCCTTGGCGTTGTTGTGTCCCGTAAGAGCCTTGAACATGGTGGACTGCACCCAGAGCTTCATAAGCTCAGAGAAGTTCCTTGTCTGCTATGGAGGCCAGCAGAAAGGGAAGGCTGTTTCCAAGCAGCGGTTGGCCCACAGGATAGTGGATGCCATCACCTTGGCATATCAATCCCAAGGCGAGTCATGCCCCCTGGGGGTGAGAACTCACTCTACCCGTAGTGTAGCTTCTTCATGGGCTTAGGTGCATGGCGCCTCTCTGGCACGGAGGAGGCAGATCCAGCCTTGGCGTTGTTGTGTCCCGTAAGAGCCTTGAACATGGTGGACTGCATCATAAGCTCAGAGAAGTTCTTTGTCTGCTATGGAGGCCAGCAGAAAGGGAAGGCTGTTTCCAAGCAGCGGTTGGCCCACAGGATAGTGGATGCCATCACCTTGGCATATCAATCCCAAGGCGAGTCATGCCCCCTGGGGGTGAGAACTCACTCTACCCGTAGTGTAGCTTTTTCATGGGCTTAGGTGCATGGCGCCTCTCTGGCAGGCATTTGCAGAGCTGCGGGCTGGGCGACACCTAACACCTTTGCAAGGTTTTACAAACTTCGCGTAGAGCCGGTGATAGGTAAGTGGCGGGAAGAACTGGCTCAGTGTCACGCTTGCTGCCATTCCCCCTCACAAGGGTATGCGAGTGCCTTTCTTCTTCCAGTCGAGTTCCCCAGATGGCGAACCCTGGTCGAGTATCCTCCATCATCCCCGGCAGTCAGACTCGGCGGAGGAGTCTGACGCCAGGCCCAGTACTTGTGTTACCAAGCCTGGGCTAGGTGTCCCGTCTGTGTGGTTCCCAGTGGGTAATCCCAAATGTGTATTCTTCCACGGTAAGGTTTCCCTCATGGTAAACCCGTATCTTCCCTTGGACAGATTCGGCTCTGTCTGTCTCTGTTGGTAGTAGATTCATCCCTACTCCCAGGTAGGACCTACCTCAGAGACATATTCCATATGTAGTACTGCCCCTCTGGGGCCAGTCCATATTAGTATCTCCACATATCACCTCCCTATGGGTAGGATGTGGTCTCCGTAGTGGCCTTATCCCTTGTACTTAGACACACTTCCTCAATGTTTTCATCTAGTCTTGCTGAAAGAAAGAAAAATGGCACGCCACGGCTTGTCAGCAATTACAGCGTCACAGTGGTAATGACATGCAGTGGTTGTGGCGTTTTCCATAAGACCCCTAATGTTGTCACAACATAACTCATAGTGACCGACAGATGGGGAACGTCTCTGTTACGTACATAACCCTCGTTGCCTGATGGAGGGAACGGAGACGTTATGTCCCCTTGCCACAATCCTGAACCACTCACTGAGTGTGGGGAAACGGTCTCGGCTCCTCAACATAAACCTGAATGAGTGGATGCACGTGGCCATTTTATATTCATGGCTCGGCATGCAAAATCCACTCGCCAATTCTCATTGGCATGTTCTCTTAAACTCAGAGGTGATTGGGGCTCCCAAGTAAGACCCCTAATGTCATCATGACATAACGTCTCCGAGGGTTACCTATATAACAGAGACGTTCAGCTGCTAATCTACAAATTTTCTGGGAAACAGCTAAATGTTTTCTGAGAGGAAACGATTTATTTTGCCTCTTATGATAATAAATCTAAAGTAAAAGTAAAATACTGGAGAAGGATTTAAAATAAACTTTTACAGAACAGAAGAGTAGGATTTTGGGAAATTTAAGTTCTGACTACAAGGCAATTTTACTAAAAACGGTGGAATTTTTGCTCCAACGCAACTCAATTACTATTTTAATGGAGAAAGGCCCAACTAAATTGCTGGCTTTAAGGCTGAAAAATAGTGAATAGGTGAATGCTATATTTAAGGACTTTAATGAGCAGCTTTACAGTTCCGAGGTGGGTTTGGATGAACAACAGAGAATTGAATTCATATCAAAATTAAATTTCCCTCACCTAAGTGACAAGCAACGTAATTTTCTCAATTCTCCAATTGAACTGAGTGAATTAAAAGAGGCTTTAGAATCAGTGAATAAGGGTAAGGCCCCTGGCCTGTATGGCTTACCCCCAGAAGCCATACTTAGTGATATGGGATTTGCTTGGACACACTCCTTCTTGATTCCTTAAATTTTGCCATAGACACGGGTTGTTTTCACAGAGATCAGAACACTGCCCTTATTTCCCTTATTTTGAAAAAAGGGAAGAGCCCTCTCTACTGCTCTAGCTATAGGCCGATTTCATTCATTTGCATGGACACTAAGGTTTATGCTAAAGTTCTAGCCCTTAATTTAGATCAAGTTGCTAGTTCTTTAATCTCTTATGATCAGACAGGATTTATTAAGGGACGCTGTGCTATGGATAATGTTTGACGTCTTCTGAATATTATAGACATGCCCAATCCGACTGACGATCAATGAGCTGTTCTCTCACTAGACGCAGAGAAAGCCTTTGATCGCATCGATGTATCTTTGGTCAGTTTTGAATTGTTTTGGCTTTGGTCCCCATTTTATGTATATGGTACGAACACTCTATAGCAATGTTTTTGCACAGGTGTTGACAGGGATGGGTTGCTCAGGTGCGTTTCTGAAAAATAGTGAATAGGTGAATGCTATATTTAAGGACTTTAATTAAATTTTAGAATCAAAAATTAAATTTCCCTCACCTAAGTGACAAGCAACGTAATTTTCTCAATTCTCCAATTGAACTGAGTGAATTAAAAGAGGCTTTAGAATCAGTGAATAAGGGTAAGGCCCCTGGCCTGTATGGCTTACCCCCAGAAGCCATACTTAGTGATATGGGATTTGCTTGGACACACTCCTTCTTGATTCCTTAAATTTTGCCATAGACACGGGTTGTTTTCACAGAGATCAGAACACTGCCCTTATTTCCCTTATTTTGAAAAAAGGGAAGAAGCTATGCTTATCTTCACCTCCTATACCTGTTCCAGCAGTGTAATCAGGAAAGCCTTCTTGAAATGGTGCGTTAAGTTCACATCAGTCACATCACCTTTCATCAGATTCTCATGGTAGCTGAGTAAATCCTCACCTTATCCAGCTCTGTCAGTAATGTGGCGTTAAAAGCTTTCTTAAAGTTCTCAATAAACACCAGGTCTGACTGATAATGGACCTTGTTTGCTAAGATAATTGTTGTCCCTGTTTGACAAAAGTGAAGCATGGTGTCAAGAAGCTCATTGAGACAGTCATGGTGATAGACCACATCAGCTGCAAAAACATAATCGTAATGATGGGTGGAGTGGGGAAACATCTCCTCTAGTTTGTAGCCCCATGGTAATGCTGTAACCTGGGGTTCATGTCTCCGTTGCCACTTGGTATTCCGGTTCAAGTTACACCTTAGATTACCAAGGATTTCTGGCAGATCTGTGGCTGTCATTTTAGCACCTACAAGTTATTGACATTGTTTAGTTCTGGTCACAGGCTTAGTCTAAACCAGTGGTTCCTAACCACATTCCTGGAGTACCCTCAACACTGCACATTTTGCATGTTTTCCTGATCCCTGATTTCCTGGGTCAACTCATCAGCTCATTAGTAAAAATTTCAAGACTTGGAATGGGTGTGTCAAACAAAATTGGACACCCTGGTTTAGACCATTGATTGCATGTTTTCCCCAGACATGTCCTGGCCGGGTTTTCTAAATTGCCTAAAATGTTGGGGTTGTGGCTTTGTTTTCCTAACCCCTAACCAATTAGAAAGACCTTTATCCACGCCCCCTACTTTTCGGCACGCCCTAATCTTTCACCACACCCACTGCTCCAGCCTGAAGTTATCCCTACATCTCCGCCAGGACATGTCTCGGAAAAAGAGGACATGTGATCGCGCTATGATTGCATCAGATATCGAGACTTACCCAGAAGTGTGGCAACTATCGAGACGAGGCCCGTTCCTGCTCCGAGCTCTAGCGTCAATTTGTCAAGTAGATTAATCTGCTGTCGGCCTGTTGGGGTGTCCAGGAATCGGCAAAGGGCCAATGCCTTTGACATTCAAAACCAGGAGTTCATAGTCTCCATTAGAATCCATGTATTTTACTTTCTCACAAAAGTACACGTATACTTTTTTATTGATCTGACAGGTTTGTCTACTGTTGTTGAATGTTTCATACTCACCGCTGGCCATACCACACCACCACAATGGTCTATGGCTTCCTGAATTTTGATTTCATGACCCAGAAAGTAGTAGATCTCCTTGCCAAGACTGTAGTAGACTATGGGAGCCCAGGATCTGCGCTCTGTTGGTTCTGTGTTGGCAGGTACAGCTGAGGGAAAGAAAGAATAAGTGCATCCCTTCAAATAAGTATTTCTATAAACACATTGGGCCTCATTTATCAATCTAACGTAGAAACGAGTGCAGATCCGTGTGCACAAGCCAACTTACGACAGAGTTCACGTGTGATTCATGAAACATTCATATGCCGCCAATCTCATCGTACGAATGATCGCACTTTGATAAATGTGGCGGCAGAAAACAATCGTCATTTGAATATCACACCCCTAAAAACACCCTGGTTTAGAAGCCTCGCCCCTTTCCCGAGTTTACAACACGGAGAAACGAAACCTGGCTAAAAAGAGGAAGTAATCTTGTGAAAGAGAAATTGATCTTACTCCAAAAACACCCGTTAACCTTGTAATTGCAAACAATTAGGCTACATTAATTTATGTAATTTATACAGGTATGTATATTAAAATACTGGTAAATATAAACAGCCTATTTAGTTCCCCTCACTCTACAACAAATATTTTCGATTTAATGGTATCCAGAACAGAACAAGAATGAAAAATAAGTAGTTATAAAATTATATTTTAAACTATAAAATAAAACACAAAATTAGGCTATAGTGGCATTCATTATAAACGGCATACAAATGTCAAGCAAAACTGAAACGGCATTGGGCTCACGAGCCTATCTCATACCCCAAGAATCCAAATGTTTCCATTTTTGCCATATTTGTAACATTTGTTTGCATAACTATTATTCATTATGTAGCCTAAACATGGCTTTAAACTTCAGTCATGTTCTAATATCCGTGTAAAATCCTTCACATGCGCAAAATTTTTTGTTTGTGCGCTGCACGCTGATTTTACAGCAGACCTTTTAAAATAAACAGTGGAACTTTTATGTTTGGTTGCATTTTAATTTGATGATGAATGGCTGAAATGTCAGGCAACGGTAGAGCTAATGTTGTTTGTGTGTGCGTGAGGTGCCTGTGCGATCAGATGGATTCAATCAAATAAAGATATAAAGAAAATAAATAAAATGCATTAAGAGTGTCACAAAAACGAGCGTATAGCCTATACTTGTTGCACAGTGTTTTTTTTTTATTTTGTTAATCTGTTAATTATATTATAGCCTATTATATATTTTGTGTGATTTTATTCCTTTTATAGGCTTAATTTCTGTCTTTCTCCTTTCACAGAAGCGCTGCAGGTGCATGATGCGACTATTGAATCCTCATGGTCTTGTTTATGCTGCTATTCGCGCATATAAAGCTAAAGCACTCTATAAAACAACAACAAAAAAAGACATTCTAATCTTACTGGTTAACGATCGACTAATGAGCTTTGTTTGATGGTCATGAATATAAAAATTAACAAAATGCTGTCATTCTACGATTCTCCACCGTATTTACTATGCTGCGCGCAGGTTCAGGTAACTCAAAAGCTTGTGTACACGAGCTGAGACCAGACATGAGATTTGATCGTACCCACGTCCATATTGATAAATTCCAAGTTTTGCGTTGAAACGACCGTATGCCCAATTTTCTGTCGTACGTTCGTTCGTAAATGAGGCCCATTGGCATTGGTCCTCTACAATTTGCAAACCTAACCTTCTTCCTCTTCCTCTGCAGATCTAACAAATTCTTGGAATCCTTTGTCTACTTGGTTCTCCTCCATCTTATTTTCTAAACTCTGAGTATCATCACACTCCAGATGTTCCACTTCTTCTGCATTGTTTCCTGTCTCGCTTGTAGAGTTTGGTTCCACAGCATCCTGTTTGCTTGACTCAAGTTTATCATTGTCCTCCTCTTCCTTGTTCATCTCTTGAACATGGTCACCTTCCTGCTCTGGTGTCTTGCTGGTTGCTACATAAATCCTCACATCATCCAGCTCTTCAAGGAGTGTAATATCAAAATATCTAAGAAAGTTGTTGATGAAATCCAGATCTGAGGCATAGCGAACCTTGTTTGCCCAGACTAGAGTAGTTCCCGGCTGGCAGAAGTGACGCATAGTGACCAGCAGCTCGGCCAGGAAGTCGTGGTAATAGACCACATCAGTCGCCAACACGTAATCATACTGGTGTGTGGATCTGGGGAAGGTCTCATCCAGCTTGTGACCCCAGTAGAGTTCTGCTACCAGGGGCTCATGTCTCCGTCGGCCTCTCGTGTTCTTGTTGAGGTTGTATCTCAGATTACCTAGAATCTCGGGTAAATCTGTGGCTGTTAGTTTGGCACCTATAGAGCAATTTCACTGATTATCTTGCAACATAGAAAACCAATTAGAATAAACCTGAATCTTATCACAACACTTACCCAATAACGTGATGACAACCGAAAGTAAGCCGGTTCCAGCCCCAAGTTCAAGAACTGATTTGTCGAGTAAATCAATGTGTTGGCGACCCTGCAGTGTTTCCATGAATCGGCAAAGTGCAAGTGCCTATATGAAGGGAATACAAATTATATTTTAAAGGTGCACCATGTTTGTTTTGACTGTTCTTGACTGTTCTCTTGGACTTTATCCTAGCACCTATTTTCTTGAATGCAGCATCACACAGCTCTTTGGTTACTGATGCCATTATAGATATACTATGTTCACTTTTGCATTTGACTCTTATGATTAATTAATTCTGCAGCTGAAAGTGTCTCACCGCTGGCCATATAGTAGCACCGTAAGAATCGATGGACTCCTGAATTGTAATTTCCTGACCCAAAAAACTGAAAACTTCTTTCCCGGGTCTGTAGTAAAAGGTTGGTGCCCATGATCTCTTGTACTCCTGTTGTTTATCATTTTCTGTGTTTCCTTCTAAAAGAAAAGACCAAGTCAGTCTCTAATTCACTAGATAAGCAACTGTGTTTTAGAATAAATCACTAACCTGATTTCTGCTCTACAAATGTTGAATCCATCTCACAGCAGCCGTCATTGTCTTCATCTCCACTATCCCCAGGTTCAGTTTCAAGGTTTGTGTTGTCCTCCTCATCTTTGATATTGTTCAAATTTCCATCCTCCAACTTTAATGTTTCCTTCTGGTTTTCCACATCAACATACCCTGTAGCCTGTTCTTCTCTAAATTGTACATCTTTCTTTTCATATTCTCGAACCTCGATCTTTCCTTCGTTCATCTCTTTCTTTGTCTTTTTATTGACTGTTTCATACTCATCCACTCCTTTCCTCGCAACCCCTTTAGTCTCTTCTGACATCACTAGTCTACTTTCTTCTCTCGTGGTGGCGGAGTAAATCTTGACCTCTCCGTTGTCTGCCAGCAGGGTGGTGTTGAACGTTTTTTTGAAGTTCTCCACAAACACCAGATCAGAATCAAAGCGGGTCTTGTTGGCCCATATGAGGGTTGTGCCCGGCTGGCAGAAGAAGCTCATAGTGACCAGTAATTCTGCTAGGTAGTCATGATGATAGACCACATCAGCTGCTAATATGTAGTCGTATCTGTAGACTGAATGAGGGAAGGTCTTATTGAGCTCACAATCCCAAGAGAGCTCCGCCACCTGTGGCGTGTATCTGCAGCGGCCCCGTGTGTTTCTGGACAGGTTGCATCTCAGATTCCCGAGGACTTCAGGCAGGTCAGTTGCTGTCACCCAAGCACCTGGAGATGATTATACAGTTATGAAAACACATAACACAACATTATGCTAATAACATGTTTGTGAATAATCCAAAACTTTAGTACTTACCCAACAGACTGGCCACGATGGACACAAGACCTGTGCCGGCTCCAATTTCTAGCACCGCTTTGTCAACAAGATCAACTGTTGCTTGATTGGACTCAAGGTATCGACACAGAGCCCGAGCCTAAATAATAATTCAGAAAATGCATCATGATTATGAATATCAGTGAGAAAACCAATGTAAAAATGGTTAAAGGTGAACTGTGCCATTAGTTGTTCCTCTGGAGGCATCAAATGTAGTTTTAAAAATAATGACCCGTTTCAGACTGGTTCCTCAAACACTCCTACCATGTGCCCATCCTCGTTTGCCATTGGTCAGTCAGTCAGATAGTTCTGCCCCAAACTCACATGATTGGTTGAGTCAGAAGTTGGCATTTCAAACAACTCATACAAACAGATCATTGTTGTGAAAGTGTCACAGAGTCACAGGATTTCACTGTTCAGGAAGTCAAACTACCAATGACTGACTTACAGTTTCTCTGAACATGAAACTGACACACCAGAAAGAATTTCAACATCCAAAATGACACACTTCAGCTTATATATTTTGAATATGTAATGAACTAATTGTTTCACTGCTGGCCAGATGACAGAACCAAATGAATCGAGAGACTCCCAGATGCTGATTTCATGGTCGGCAAAATAATGGATCTCCTTTCTGGGCTCCCAGGATACCTTACGCACACGGACTTCAGCTTCTGCTCAATATAACAAATGAAAAAACTGATGCATTCCTCAATAAAATCTTCACAGATGCAGTGCTTACAGTCAGAGATTAAAGGAATAGTTCACCCAAAAATGAAAATTTGCTGAAAATGTACTCAGGCCATCCAAGATGTAAATGAGTTTGTTTCTTCATCAGATTTTAAGAAACTTGCTCACCAATTGGGGATTATTGTGATGTTTTTAGGACATTTTAGCACGTTTCATTTTTTAGCTGAACTATTCCTTTAAAAGAAGGTGATCTTGAGGTTATTTTCCAATACATATTTAAGTTATTTACCATCATGCTTTTCTTTGTCTTCATTTGTATCATTTTCCCCAGTGTTCACACTCCCCTCCGTCTCCACTGTGGCGTCTCCATTTCCAGACTGAATGCAATCCATGATGATAATGTCCCAGTTCAAAAATGTCCAAATTTACCCTAAGCTAAGTCTTACTGTATTTCCTTAAATGCATTTTGCAGCTTCAGGAGAATTCAATGCAGTAACTGCAGTTCACTGCACCTTCAGCTGGCTAAATCTCCAGAGGAGTCCATGTGTCTGCAGAGGTAAGCTATACCTTGTTGTTTCTGCAACTGCATCCTCAGCCGTCACCCAGCAAGGTTATAGATGGGCATCACGCAACACTCCAGTGTCACACTGGTATTAACTATATTTAGCTGGAGATTCATGAAGCAGTTGCACATCCACACAAACACTGAGAAATAGAGTATGATGTAGGAGATGGGGAACAAGCTTCTGCTTGCACAAAATGAAGGTAAACACTGAAGCCTTGAGATAATGGAGATCAACTAATACTATAAGTTGATCTAAGGAAGCTACGCAAGGAATTATGTGAGATACGACTCCATACGACCTATGTTTCTTGTTATTCTTGTTATTTTGAATCTTGCAAAACCTGTCAAGAATATGTTTGGATCATACTTTACCCCAAAATGAGAATTCTTAGGGTAAACAAAATGCACACAATTAAGTAAACTGGCCCTCTCCAATAAAATATTGATAAATGAAGTATTTAAATGTAATAATTTATGCATCATATGTTATGCAGTGCTTTTCAAGGTAAATAAAATACACACGATAATACAAAATGTACATCATTTTGTTGGTTTTGTGGTGCAATGTAATCTAAACATGTGGCATTCAACCTTTAATTTTTAGCCATTAATTCCATCCCTGTTGGTTTCTATGAGTCTAGGCAGCTGGTATGCCCTAAATTGATTCCACAGAAGGGAAACCCAATATAACACTATATCTCTGGAGGCCACATGAGGTCATTGCTGTTAATCTCTTATCCAACTGGCTCGCACTAAATCCGCTCTATATCTTCTCCAGTTTCTTGTATGGTTGTCAAAATTCTCTGGAATCAGTGGGCAATTGAACATCTTCACCATGTAGGGCCTGATATTTTGGTGATTTGGCACCAGAGACACCAAGCTACATTTACACCATTTGACAGATGCGTGCATGAAGAGAGCATCTTGTTGTAATGTTAAAATGACAGGCTTTCCTGCTTGAGGATGTTTTTGAAAACTCTCTTCTGCAGGAGTAGATGTATGTGGTGTACATGTGTTTGCATCATGTAATAATGACACTGGCAGACTCAAGCACATGCTGCCAGTATCAAATATCTCTGTTACATGGTCCAAATGGGCTGCTGTTCTCAGAAGATCCAGAACATGTTTGTAATCCATTACTGCTACATGCTGTTAGTCATGAACACATCTGGTTCTTCTTAACTTAGAAACTATGCCAAAAAAAAAAACAGGTCTACTTTTATCTAGAAGTGCCCAATAATAAAGACCTGTAAACATTGTAAGCAATGTTTCAGAATCAGTTGTTTAGAGAAGGAAACCTGAATCTGAATCTTCCCTTTCCCAGCAATGAATATGCCCGTGTTCAAATTGTAAAAGTACATTTTCTGTATCAAAAAGTCATCAAAACTCAAGAGAGTGAATGTTATGAAAAACGTGATCACATCAAAATAGTAGTACTGCTCACAACTCTCTAGAACAGAGATATTCAATGCATGATTGATCATATTTACATTTACATGGATAAATAATGACCCGTTTCAGACTGGTTCCTCAAACACTCCTACCATGTGCCCATCCTCGTTTGCCATTGGTCAGTCAGTCAGATAGTTCTGCCCCAAACTCACATGATTGGTTGAGTCAGAAGTTGGCATTTCAAACAACTCATACAAACAGATCATTGTTGTGAAAGTGTCACAGAGTCACAGGATTTCACTGTTCAGGAAGTCAAACTACCAATGACTGACTTACAGTTTCTCTGAACATGAAACTGACACACCAGAAAGAATTTCAACATCCAAAATGACACACTTCAGCTTATATATTTTGAATATGTAATGAACTAATTGTTTCACTGCTGGCCAGATGACAGAACCAAATGAATCGAGAGACTCCCAGATGCTGATCTCATGGCCGGCAAAATAATGGATCTCCTTTCTGGGCTCCCAGGATACCTTACGGACACAGACTTCAGCTTCTGCTTAATATAACAAATGGAAAAACTGATGCATTCCTCAATAAAATCTTCACAGATGCAGTGCTTACAGTCAGAGATTAAAGGAATAGTTCACCCAAAAATGAAAATTTGCTGAAAATGTACTCAGGCCATCCAAGATGTAAATGAGTTTGTTTCTTCATCAGATTTTAAGAAACTTGCTCACCAATTGGGGATTATTGTGATGTTTTTAGGACATTTTAGCACGTTTCATTTTTTAGCTGAACTATTCCTTTAAAAGAAGGTGATCTTGAGGTTATTTTCCAATACATATTTAAGTTATTTACCATCATGCTTTTCTTTGTCTTCATTTGTATCATTTTCCCCAGTGTTCACACTCCCCTCCGTCTCCACTGTGGCGTCTCCATTTCCAGACTGAATGCAATCCATGATGATAATGTCCCAGTTCAAAAATGTCCAAATTTACCCTAAGCTAAGTCTTACTGTATTTCCTTAAATGCATTTTGCAGCTTCAGGAGAATTCAATGCAGTAACTGCAGTTCACTGCACCTTCAGCTGGCTAAATCTCCAGAGGAGTCCATGTGTCTGCAGAGGTAAGCTATACCTTGTTGTTTCTGCAACTGCATCCTCAGCCGTCACCCAGCAAGGTTATAGATGGGCATCACGCAACACTCCAGTGTCACACTGGTATTAACTATATTTAGCTGGAGATTCATGAAGCAGTTGCACATCCACACAAACACTGAGAAATAGAGTATGATGTAGGAGATGGGGAACAAGCTTCTGCTTGCACAAAATGAAGGTAAACACTGAAGCCTTGAGATAATGGAGATCAACTAATACTATAAGTTGATCTAAGGAAGCTACGCAAGGAATTATGTGAGATACGACTCCATACGACCTATGTTTCTTGTTATTCTTGTTATTTTGAATCTTGCAAAACCTGTCAAGAATATGTTTGGATCATACTTTACCCCAAAATGAGAATTCTTAGGGTAAACAAAATGCACACAATTAAGTAAACTGGCCCTCTCCAATAAAATATTGATAAATGAAGTATTTAAATGTAATAATTTATGCATCATATGTTATGCAGTGCTTTTCAAGGTAAATAAAATACACACGATAATACAAAATGTACATCATTTTGTTGGTTTTGTGGTGCAATGTAATCTAAACATGTGGCATTCAACCTTTAATTTTTAGCCATTAATTCCATCCCTGTTGGTTTCTATGAGTCTAGGCAGCTGGTATGCCCTAAATTGATTCCACAGAAGGGAAACCCAATATAACACTATATCTCTGGAGGCCACATGAGGTCATTGCTGTTAATCTCTTATCCAACTGGCTCGCACTAAATCCGCTCTATATCTTCTCCAGTTTCTTGTATGGTTGTCAAAATTCTCTGGAATCAGTGGGCAATTGAACATCTTCACCATGTAGGGCCTGATATTTTGGTGATTTGGCACCAGAGACACCAAGCTACATTTACACCATTTGACAGATGCGTGCATGAAGAGAGCATCTTGTTGTAATGTTAAAATGACAGGCTTTCCTGCTTGAGGATGTTTTTGAAAACTCTCTTCTGCAGGAGTAGATGTATGTGGTGTACATGTGTTTGCATCATGTAATAATGACACTGGCAGACTCAAGCACATGCTGCCAGTATCAAATATCTCTGTTACATGGTCCAAATGGGCTGCTGTTCTCAGAAGATCCAGAACATGTTTGTAATCCATTACTGCTACATGCTGTTAGTCATGAACACATCTGGTTCTTCTTAACTTAGAAACTATGCCAAAAAAAAAAACAGGTCTACTTTTATCTAGAAGTGCCCAATAATAAAGACCTGTAAACATTGTAAGCAATGTTTCAGAATCAGTTGTTTAGAGAAGGAAACCTGAATCTGAATCTTCCCTTTCCCAGCAATGAATATGCCCGTGTTCAAATTGTAAAAGTACATTTTCTGTATCAAAAAGTCATCAAAACTCAAGAGAGTGAATGTTATGAAAAACGTGATCACATCAAAATAGTAGTACTGCTCACAACTCTCTAGAACAGAGATATTCAATGCATGATTGATCATATTTACATTTACATGGATTACAGAAATGCAAAGTTTCAGAACTAAACATGAATTTTGACTTCTGAATGCTGCACGAAGTTGTAAAGCTAGAGTTCCGACCTTGATTTTCTGCTGGTGAACTGCTGTGATGGTGGTTTGCTTGTGAATTTGGAGTTGATTGTGGGGGATCTGCTACACTTTTGGACCAAAGGTCAGGTTCACCATCCAGAGCATCTCCATGGATCACTTCTTTTATCAGAGATGAGTAGATGAGTTTGTTTCTTCCAAGCCCATCAAGACGTTTTTAACTTCAAACCGCTGCTTCGGGCTAAAATACAAGTCCATAATGCTTAATAACTCTTCCTCCAGTGAAAATCTGGTCTGAATCAGGAGAGAAATCTACACAGATCAAGCACCGTTTACAAGCCAAAACAGTCCAGAACGGTTCTAAACAAATATGTGGGTGGATTTTGATGTGAGATGGACTTTTTCACTGTAGGAAGTGTTATTATGGAAGCAATGGTTTGAAGATAAAAATATCTTGATTAAATTGATGATGGATTTGTTTCTTACAAAAGCACAGCTTTTGGCGTAACAAGACATTAATTGATGGACTGGAGTCATTACTTATTTACTACTACTTATCAATTTAATATTACTTATTACTTACGTATCCTACTACTTGTTTCACTTCTGTTTCAGTTTTTATATCCATTTCTTACTATGTGTAAGTAAGTTGTTGTTTTTTAGCATGTGTGGTTTGGCAGTGTTATTTTTTAGGATTACTGATAAACTGCTGTCATTTGATTTCAATGTAGAATACAGTTTCCTTTCTTCTGTATGTTGACTAAAGTTATGACAAAGCTGCTTGTTTTTAAATGTTCAGACTGAATGTTAGTATATTAATTAACCATACGTTTCCATGATTCCATTCCATGATTCTATAAATTTCAAGAACTGTATGTTAAATAAAATCAATAGTTATTAAGGAGGGAAAAAAACCCATCTTGATTTTGTTGTTTGATACTTTAAGTTAGATTAATTTCATATGTAATTATTATTATTATTATTATTATTAATAGCTCAATTTTTATTGTCTTTATTATTGTAAGAAAGAATAAAATAACACAAATCAGTGGTTTAAACCTTTTTAGACATTTCATAGTTGGTTTGGGTTTTGGTGGTTCCTCCTCGCCATGAGTCTGCCCCCAGAGGCCCCTCCTCTCCATGAGTCTGCCCCCAGAGGCCCCTCCTCTCCATGAGTCTGCCCCCAGAGGCCCCTCCTGTCCATGAGTCTGCCCCAGAGGTGGCAGTGTCCACTTCTGAACTCTCTGTCTGCCTTTTTACGGCCAAGGAGGCCTTCCATGAACTCTCTGTCTGCCCCGTTATGGCCAAGGAGGCTGTCCTTGGTATGTCACAGTTGGTTTTGGGTTTTGCTGGTTCTTGTCATGTGTTTCCTTTGACCCTGTCATGTGATTTTGCCATGTGGTCTTATACAATTATCATTATATAGGTATTTGGGCAGCAGAAGAGGAATACTGTTGTACAGAAAATACCAGCAAACAAGTACAACCCCAATTCTGGAAGAGTCGGGACGTTTTGTGAAATGCCATAAAAGTCAAGAATATGTGATTTGTTCATTCTCTTTAACCTTTATTTAATTGACTAAACTACAAAGAAAAAAAATCCAATATTTTCACTGGCCAACTTAATTTTATTTTGTAAATATAAACACATTTTGATTTTGATGGCTGCAACACACACCAAAAAAGTTGGAACAAAGTCATGTTTAACACTGTGTCACATCAACTTTCCTTTTAATTACAATGTTTAATTGTTTGGGAATTGAGAATACCAATTGTTAAAGTTTTGCAAGCAAAATGTTTGTCCAATCTCACTTGATACGAGACTTCAGATGCTCAGCAGTCTCTGATCGTCGTTGTCGGATTCTCCTTTTCATGACTGGTCATACATTTTCAATAGGGGACAAATCTGGACTGATCTAGTACATTCACCCTGATCTACGTGTCTATGCAACCACGCTGTTGTAGCACATGCAGAAAGAGCCCTTGCATAGTCTTGCTCGAATAACCATGGACTTCCCATGACCGACGTGATCTTGATGGCAGTACATGTCTCTGTACAATTTCAATATATGCCTCCATTAGGGTGACCGTACGTGCCATTTTTCCCCGACATGTCCTGGCTAGGATTTGTTTTGGCTTTGTTTTCCTGTTTTCATGCTTGCTGAAGGTAATGATCGAAAAGTAGTTTGACCAATAACATGCAGGCATTGTACATAATGGACCAATCATGGTGTGTGTGAGAAGGTGGGATTTACGGTCAAAGCGATGCAATTACGCGTACATAGGATGTGTGTTCAACTTAAAAGCAGCTCAGATCGATCAGTGTTCGACATCAAAGTACCTTGAGAGCATTTTGAAAGCATAAGGAACCGTCTGTATGGTATTTTGATGTCATACACCGATGTACACACGCAAACAAAGCCAAA